AAACAGGTTTTAAAAGTTTCTTAAAATGTTTTTTCTCTTTTATATTTATATTTACTATGTGGGACAACTAAAAAGAATATTACCAACTATAAAAATGCATCAAAAACATATTACATCACCGACCTTTATTGAATCCCTTAACCATTACCACACTGGAGACAAAATTGTCACTGTTGAATTCACTCCCTTTGTTGCTCTAGGTGCATTCTGTCGCCTTGAAGTGGTTGCTATACATCACTGGTTTTCAACCTTTTTGCTGGAGCGGAACCACAAGGAAACATTCCAGTGGCTGGAGGAACCCCTGCAATAAATTGTCTTATGCAAAAACAGCTTCAATTATTAAAATAAAATAAAAATACTCATCTTCAGATTTATTTACAAACAAATACAAAGACAAACTGTAAAAATATTGTATACGTACATATGTAATTTTAATCTTGCTTCTACGGTTATTACACATGTTTTAAAAACTTCAGTTTAAAGTTTATTTTCATTAAAAATTCAATGAGAAACTTGAGCCTGATGTTTCTTGCACAAATCTTTAATATTGGGTCGTGTTTTTGACAGATACACACAAAGTTCATCTTCAACACATATCTGCACAGGAGAATTAAAAATTACTGTTCAATGATAGTACTTGTGTAACTTCTTGTGGAACCCCTGGGCTTTACTGGCGGAACGCTAGGGTTCCACGGAACCCTGGTTGAAAACCACTGCTATACATAAACACTTGTCAACTGTTATTTCTGGTATTTTAAGCTGGAAATAGTCTACTACTGCTTTGGAATGAGGTTAAACTTTCATTTTCCAATGCCATTTTAAATTCTTCTAAACTCTATATGAGATCTAACATCAATCAAAGCCATGTTAATTTTTTCACAATTTTTTGTAAACAAAAATGGCCGCGTCAACATCCAACAAAATCTTTATTCAGGTGTTTTTCTTTGATTCAGACTCCGATGATAATTTTGAAGGCTTTACCCAAGTGGATATTGATGGTGAAGTGGCCAAAGATCCATGCTAGTGATGTGGACGAAAGTGATAGTGACTATTAGTAAACTACTATCATCCATGACTGGCTAATTTTAAGGAAGCTACTGGTGACCATCAAGATACCTAAAAGCCTTTTTGAAGGTGAATTATTTTGTTTATTTACAAAGAACAAAATAATAACTTTCTTTTTCAATGAGATAAATAAATATGAGTCAGGTGAAAGAAAGAACAAGCAAATGTTGGTGTCTTCTTGTATGTAAATACGAAGAAACACATCACTTTTTTGATGAAATGAAAACCTTCTTAGCCATTTTGTTTCTTATTGCACTCTAGAAGTCTACAAGGAGTAATAAAAGTTAAAGTATGTTAAATTGTTAAGGTATTTTGTTTTTTTATTTTGTATTTCAATTTTCTTCTTGGTTTCACCATCAAAACGTGTGCAAAACATAATGTATTACATCAAAATATTACTCATCCTTTCTTTTATTAGTATACATAAATCTATATAACTATTTTAAAACAGTAGGTGTTTGTTTTTGTGCCCTCAAAAAAAATTGCGGCAAGGGGAACAATTCTAGAAAGAAATTAGCATGGTAATGGTTAAAGAATGTAATATATGTTTATCTAAAACAAACAGTATGTACGTAAAAATGTCCCAAATAAACTTACAAAAAAACCAACAAACATAATCTCTACTAAACATATATGCACACACACACTTACAAATATATATATATATATATATATATATATATATATATAGTCTTCTTGTATGTAAACATGAGGAAGCACGTCACTTTTTTGACAAAATGAAAGCCTTCTTAGCCATTTTCTTCCTTATTGCACCCTAGAAGTCTACAAGGAGTAATAAAGAGAGAGGTCAAAGAGCTCTCCATCCTTACCATGCAGTGATTGCAGATGTCTCTTCAGATCCAATATAGGATTCATTTCACATAGAAGGAAATGTTGATGAATGCCTTAATACTCAGCAAAGAGTTCTGCCAACGAACAAATTAACAATTTTTTAAAAGTATTTTCATTCTTCCTTGATGTATATTGTGGTAAAAGGTGAAATCACTAATTGTTATATACAAGTAAATTTTCTCTGTTTTCTGCTAAATAAGAAATAGGAGTTGATTCCTGGTATTAAAAATACTTATTATTAAGTTAATTATTGGATATCTCTATCTATAAAAGGCAGGTTGTGTGTGTGTGTGTGTGTAACGAATGCATGGCTACAATTTTCGACAGATTTGCACCAAAATTTACATGCACATGCTCCAAGTTAGCGAAAAGGCCAAGACTGATGTTGCATTTCCCAACTCCCATCAATAGTGTAAATAATCGATTTTTTCATGCTTCTACGGCAGTTTTCATGTAGTTTGCTGCCATTTTCTACTGGCCAGAGTGAGAGACAATAGCTGGCTGCCACAAATAGGCAGGAAGATTCTATTGGCCAGCGTGAGAGCCAACAGCTGACTGACATGAATGTTAACTAGCATGCAAAAAAAATCGATAGCTGCATTTGTCACAAGTGGGGAAAAATTTTAATCTGCATGGCACTTTACTCCAATTGGCTCATTCGCTTGCTTAAACTCAATGTTGATTCTGATTCCGCTGAACTGGGTTGGGTGTAAAAAAAGTATTTGTTGTTAACATTCTTTTTCCATTCGTTTTTTCCAGTTACAAGTCCTTTTTTTAAAGCTGATTGTTTTGTGTTCATTTTGTTTAGTTCTTTTTTTGTAACAGATTTAATGTTTAGTATAGAGCTTAGAAAAAATTCACACTATTCATAAATTCAAACTTGAATGTACAGATCATTCTGTTTATTTCTCAAATTACCCAGTGTTTCCTATGTTTCTCTGGACATTATACATACCTCTTGAAATCACTCTACCAGAAAATGTCCCCTTCCTTAGTTGCATTAGACTCTACTCTGGAGAAATAGGACTTTATCACGCTAGGTGTTGTTTCCTGTGATTATCATAGTGTGTAGTGAAATGACGTGGCTCTCCCCGACATCCAATAAGTTTTGTATTCAAAATTGTTCTTCTTTTGACTCCTATGCAGAAAGGAATGACTGCTAAAACATCCCTACTCGCCGAATTTCTTCCTAAGCAATAAAAATACACCATCTATCAGTCTCATCCACCATATTTCTTTTTTTGTGTCTTGAAATCAGAATGCTACAATCACTTTTGCATGTTAACACCATTCTTTGTGAACTTTTGCCATTTCTACTGCTTTGCCTAGTTTTGACTTGCATATATATATATATATATATATATATATATATAGGGTGAGGCAAAAGTCGTGTAATATAGGTGTTAATGAAATGGTTGAAGAGGTTCTATTGAGTGCTCATTGAGGTCACCAGACCTCACACATTTAGATTTTTTTCTGTGGGGCGATTTGAAATCTGTTGTTTATCAGATGCTCCCAAGAAATATTGAGGAACTGAAAAAATTAAATATGAATACATTAGAATGACAGAGGAAATTCTCTAATGTGTTAATGAATCATCACGCACAGAATTGAAATGTGTTTTGAAAAAGGAAGGGGACATTTTGAACAGCACATATAACAATTACATATCTAGTATATAAAATTTTCATATGTAATTATACATTTAATCAATTATCCCTAGGGTGTGTGACTTTTGTCACAACCTTTTTATTGTTTGTTTAGTATTATTTTGCCCTTTTCTTTTGTTTCCTGGAAACTTCAATTTCACCAATTACTCTATACACTAAACTGGATGCCAGTCATGACTAGAGATCCAAGTTTTGTCTGATATTTAACTGTTAGCTAGGGAGGGGAAAAAAAAGAGATGGATTTACACCTTTTTCATGGTTATTTGTGTGAAAGTGAATGCAACAAACTCAGCAAGAATTGGAACATGATGCACCAATTTCACTTTCTGCGCTGATAACCACTATACTACATGCATATCAACCCCGAAAATATAGAACCATACTTTTTTTTTTCTTTCTTTGAGGAAACCATTGAGTACTTTAAGTTCTATAAACTTTTATATAACCTCTTTTATATCAACACTTAGATAATATTCATGTCACATCAAGATTTTATTTTTTAAAATAAATTCTTAATGTCTTCAATAAACTCTCAAAATGTTCTTGCAATTGTTACAGGCTACAAGATTCCACAGTATCATGAATATCCTTATTTCTTTTTCCTGTGAGCTAAATCTGTAAATCACCCCACATGTTTTATTCTTCCTTATGTCCCTGTGGGTGAAAAGGAAATTAATATGTCACTCCCTTCTAAATGAATCTTTTATTTTATAAATTTCATAATAAAAATAATATCACCTCTGTCCCATAATAGTTGTTACATCTGCATACACATTTCATACACCAAATGGCACATTGATTATGGGATGGATAGTATAAAAATTTTGTTAGAAACAAAGAAAAGAGTGTTGAACTATTATATGATATGTCTTCGTATATGCCAATGAATGCTGGATAATCTCCTCAATGATGAAGAAGAGACTTGAAGCAATAGAAATGTTGATCTACAGAAATATGTTGATGATACCATAGACCAATTATGTGAGGTTTTAGAGAAAAATGGAAATGAAAAGGAAACTTATATTAACATCAGGAAGAGGCAGTTGAAATTTCTGGGGTATGTAATGAGGAAGGAAGATTTGGAAAATCTGATACTCACAGGACAGGAGAGCAGTGCATAATATACTTGATGAGCTTGATTAAATGGATGGTAGAACAGGCTTTGAGAGAAATGAGAAAAACTTAAGCGCTACAAGGAACAGAAAGATGGGGAATGCCACGATCGCCTAAATTCTGAAGTGACATGTCCTATAATAGTTGTTACATCTGCATACATGTTTCATACACCAAATGACACAATGATTATGGGACAGTGAGTATAATAAATTATTTACTGAAAATTTTTGATATTTTTCTTTTTAACACTGTGGAATATAAATGATGCAAAAGTGACATACTTTTATTCAGGATCTGATGAGTTTAATTTTTTTTTTCTTCCTTTTTGAGGTAATTTAAGATATTTTTTCAAGTTTTGCTTGTTAATGGTAGAGAGGTATGCTACGCTAATGTCTGTTTACTTCACATTAGTTTTTTTAGATAGGAGTAAAAGCAAATGGTATTCAGCTAATTTATTTTGTGCAAGATGTTAGATACTCTATCTAAAGAATTTCTCAGAAGAAAAGAAAGGTTCCTTTTCTTATTTATTTTTTCTCTCTGCCATTCCCTCATCTACCAGTTCAAAAACTTTTCTTATCTGAAATGAATTGATCAAAAAAGCATTTTATCTTTTTGTCTATGGATTCTAATAATGAATGTTTTGCTGCCCTAAAACAAACAAACAAAAAATACAAAAATTGTAACACTTTCTGGTTTTATCTCTGTCAAAGTAAAAAAAGAAAAAAAAGGAAGCATAAATCAGTAATCAAAGTCTATGTAGATAAAAAACAAAACAAAATAAAAACACATGGACTCACATTAAACAACTTTAAAATTTTCTAATCTTGGGACCTATTAATAATCCAATAAAATGAATGGCAAGTAGTTACCATATTTGAGTACATATAAGACCCACATTTTCACCCAAGTATTAGAATTTCATGAATTTGTACAATGCACAAAAAGAAACTTGTTTTTGAATTGAGCTAAATACGGAACATGAATTAATTTCTTATAACATTCAATATACCACTCAACAATTTCCTTTTTCCTAATCCTGACTGAAATGGTAGAGGGTGTGATATATGCCATCAAATACAGAAATAGTTGTCATCTTATTAATATTTTTACATTTTAAGTTATATGTATATATATATATTAAGAAATGGACAAAGTCCGACAATTTATTTATTAAAGACATTTTTATGTTTAACGTTCTTTTTTATAGATACAAGTATTTAAGTAAATGCTCTGTTTATAATAAACAGTATTAAATAACATTTACCGGCCTGAATGTCGAAATTTTCATAGAAAATATTCGTCCTTTGACAGGATTTCTAACCTGCATCCTATCTGGAACCGTCATTTACGCTGTTAACCAAATCGGTTGGCACGTGGAGCGTAAATATCGGTTCTGTGAATAAATGCATGAAAAATATGGACAAAAAGGTGCTCTGAAATGTTATTTAATATTGTTTATTATAAACAGATTATTTATTTAAATACTTGTATCTATAAAAAAGAATGTATAAACATAAAAAAATGTCTTATATATATATATATATATATATATAAATAAATGCATAAATTATGTCAAACTTAGCATAAAAAAATAATAAAAATGAGAAAATCCACAGTGAATCAAAACCTCCTGCCAAGGGGACCAAACAATTTAAAAAAAAAGTTAGTCTATGAAACTCCAGATTCGAGGTGCTGAATATAACATCTATCAGCTAAATCACATTTTTTAAAATAAAATATATATATATATATATATATATATATATATATATATATATATAGAGAGAGAGAGAGAGAGAAATTGTATTATATTCAACTGGTAAGCTTTGTCTACTTAATTTTTTATTGTATTTTTCCCTATGTACAAATAAATTTTCACATCCAGATTAAAATTGTGGATAAACTGCCCAAAGTTCGAGTTTTTGTTCCGTTGTGTTTTTTTGAATACTTTTGACTGTTTTGGCTATTACCAGGAATTAAATTTTGTCAGCATTAAAAACAAATGTTAACATTTTTGGGGAATGCTAGATTTCAAATTTAAGTAAGTATATTTTTAAATCAGAAATAAGCATTAAGAAAAAAACCCAAAAATCTTCCACTGTGTCCAATAAAGAATTAGCATTATGCCTCAATAAATGCTTGTTTTTTTTTTGTTTTTTTTTGTTTTTGTTTTTTTTTTTTTGTTGTTTTTTTTTTTTCCAATTATGTTCACTTGAGGAAGAGGGTTGCAGTGTAAGAGGCACTGTTTGTAGGGAAGATAATGTTTGACCCTAGACTTCAAAAGGTTAAGATTGTAGTGATTGGGGAAGCATCCCCTTTGGAGTTGATTTTACAAAACAGCAGTTTGTGGGAAGAAGCAGCTCAGCTTGAACATCCATCTCACCCATAGAATACAAAGGGAATGAGGGTGGTTTACTAAAAATGTGCATGGTTTGGTATAGCAGGTGTTAGCTATGACCGTTAGAACTGGTAGAACTAAGGAATTCTCCATGATTTTCTCTCATACATTCATATATGCTCGATGTGTATCCAAATGTAAACAAATGACATCACACATTATGAAATGGACAAAGTCTGACAATTATTTAAGACATTTATGTTTATACATTCTTTTTATAGATACAAATATTTAAGTAAATGCTTTGGAGATTTGTAGTTTAAAAACAGTAAAATCGACCTTGCTAACCGAAACGCTCCTCTGTGGCTCAATTGGTAAAAGCACCTCAGGCTATATAACATTTCCGTATAGGATACAGGTTCGATTCCTGTTGGAGGATGCATATTTTCTATGAAAATTTCTTGGACATTCAGGCCAGTAAATGTTGTTAATACTGTTTATTATAAAACAGAGTATTTACTTAAATATTTGTATCTATAAAAAGAATGTATAAACATAAAAATATCTTAAAATAATTGTCGGACTTTGTCCATTTCATAATGTGTAAAACCATTTTGTATAAATCATTTATTAAAGCAAAAATTTCTGATGTGTTTTTTTTAATTTCTTTTTTTATTTCAGGGACACATTGGCACATCAACTTATGGAGTACTTTGGCTTAAGGAGGAATCTCTTGTTACAGAGATAATCCGTTTAGCAGAAGAATGCGGTGTTTTCTCAGTCAGAGGGTAAGAATTTGTGCAAAAATGTACTAAAAACAAACAGTACATGACGGTTTTTATTTTTTGTCTGATGGAATGTTCTCCATAAAATTTTGTGTTAAAATTCAGTTAGTTAGAAAGAATTGTTAATATATTAGTTTACCTAAACCTTAAAATAAATGTGATAATATTTAACCATTAGCACCTTGTACATAGGTGACTATTTATTAAAAAAATGTTTGTACAGTCACTGCATGCAATTTTGATCATCAGACATTAGTGTGGTTGAATTTTGTGCTAGTGTTGTCATATCCTACTATGGCAACAGGAAAATGATGAATGGAAAATCAAAGATGATGCTACTGCAGTTATCTGGCCATGTATATCCAATGGATGAGGATGAAATTTTATGATATTGCAGAGTGCTAAGGGTTAAAAAAATCCTATATGGATGAGTTTATCACAAGACCCCAAATCTCATGAGATTTTTCAAGTAGAATATTATTTTGTAATAATAGCCAAAACAAAATATTATTTAGTTACCTTTTTCTAATATTTATTTTCTTTCTAATTATCATGGTAAGTTCTTATAGGATCATTTTGAACATCATGATAAATGTTTATGAAGCCTTTTTTATGATGTTATATAGTAACTATAAATGTCATTAGAGCTCACTTTTGCATCTAACCATTAACTGCATCCTGGGCTCTGGATTTTGGAGTGGGTGTCAAGAGGGTGGTTTTAAACCTGTTATTTATCTATAAATCCATTCATGCAAATGTTGTTACTCTTTTTTTATGATGTTATATAGTCACTATAAATGTCATTATAGTTCACTTTTGCATCAAAATTTGATCTAACCATTCACTGCATCCTGGGCTTTTGGAGTGGGTGTCAAGAGGGTGGGTTTAAACCTGTAATTTATCTATAAATCTATTCATGCAAATGTTGTTATTTCTTGAAAGGAACCATCATTAGCCTTTGGGGGTAAATAATGATTTTTATTTCAATCTATATCATCCTGACATCAATTTAAGCTGACGCCTTCTTTTTCCCATATATCTAAAATATAAACTACAGTTCTGGAAAGGGAAAATTTCACAGAAATATGTTGGAAAATTTAAGTATAAGTGTCTTCTTTGTTTCCATTTTCTCTAAAACTTCATCATTGCTCACATGTTCACTCCATGGTATTCTCAGCATCTTTTTGTAAAACCATATTTCTGTTCTAGCTTTTCTTCATCTGTGATGAGATTGTCCAGCATTCATTGCCATTGTCTTTGACATTGTTAGACATTTAACCTTTAGCATTTTGTATGTAGATGACTTCATTTGTCAAACAAAATGTTTGTACAGCCACTGCATGCAACTTTGATCAGGCAATAGTGTGGTTGAATTTTGTGCTAGTGTTGTCATATCCTACTATGGCAACAAGAAAATGACTTGCTGAAAATCAAAGATGATGTTATTGCAATTGTCAGGACACTTATATCAAATGAATAAAATGCTTATGAATATTGTGGAGAGCTAAAGGTTAAGTAATTTTGAAATTCTGTTACTTATACAGGGTGTGGCAGAAATACCCACCACATATACCTCTAAGAAATACCTACTAAGACATTAGTGGCAATGGTGTCTTCATATAGCTAATGTCTTAACATTATGTCAGAAGTATTTCTGCCGCACCATCTATTATCTGCTAGAGTAATATGTTCTTATCTATATAATTACCTATTTAATTGTAAGAAAGAATGCGGTCTTTTAAATCATTAAACTAATAATATCTAAACAAAGTTAACATAAGACAAAATAAATAAAATGCAATATATTAGCAACCTGGTCTCCCTCTTTTTTTTTTTTTTTTTTATTAATGAGATATTTCATTCTTATGGTAACCAGATGCATGTTCCCTTATTGTGTTTTTGTAAGAATAGAATATTGCAGTATGTAGGAGAGATCATTTAGTGTGACTGATAAATATATAAAGTCATGTAAATTTATAAATTTATAAGCTGGTATTTAATTAAAGTGATAAAAATGTTAAAACATGCAAAAAGGAGGGGTAACAAAAAAAAAGACATAAGTCAAATGGTAATATTGCAACATGATTAACAAGAAAAACAGCTAAACCAGTTTATTGGTCATCTCTAATTAGAGCTCAGTGCAGAAGAAGAAATGTTCAGTGGCTAAAATGAACACCAAACACCAATTGTTATATAATAAAATATATAAAACTTACAGATGATAGCTGAACATTAGTTAAAAAATCACCAATGTGCCCAGTCTTATAACCAAGACATGTTCTCAGTACTAAGGAAGGATAATTTGGAATTTCATTTGAAGGTGTTGGAATCTATTTATATTAAGTCCTACCAGACATCTTGTAAGCAGAAGGAATGATGGTTAGGCATAAATGTAATTTGACTGTTATATAAAAATTGGTCTTGGGTGTTCGTTTTAGTTGCTGTGCACATTTCTTGTCCTCGATTGGTTTAGCTGCTTTTTTGCAAATCATGTTTTATTTCAATATTATCACTTTCTTAAAAAAAATCAATTCACCCCAAGCAAGGCAATAATGCCACTAAGCTGTAAGAGTCTACTGGGAGTGAAAGAGAATGAGCAAACTTTAGAAAGCACCAGAAACACAATCTTAAATAGGAAACGGGATAAACCTCTACTCCTGTTCAAAGGACTGGGTAGGGGTGAGAACCGGATGAAAGGCAAACCTATGTACAGTTGTTGATGGAAAAAATAAATAAATAAGAAATGAATAATGAATAAAATTTTAGAGTTTAGGCTGAGATGTTAAAAGTATAGTTGAAGTAGACATTAGAAAGAACTGGAAATCTGATCCTAAACGGGAAACAAGAGATAAATCTCTACAGTTGTTTGAGAGACAAGTGAGGAGTGTGAACCAGATGAAAGACAAACCTATCTACTCCTACTGAGGAAAAAGCATGTAAATTGTGTGTAACTTGCTCTTTTTGAGTGGGTACACATTTACTTATCTCTGTTGCATCTCTGTCTTTGGACAGAGTGCACTCAGGGGCGACTCTGTTAAAGGACAGAGTCGCAACAGAGGAAAATTATACTGAGAGGTGCTGGCCCTGGGGAACAGCTGCCTGAGGCCGTACCTTCTCATTGCACTAGAGAGAAGGATCGGTGCATGCACCGAGGTCAGTGCAACTGACGGTTGTGGGGGCTCGGGGAATTTTTGTTCCTTGTCCGATTGCACGCGCTCGGGCTGCCCACATTAAACCAACCTTGTGTCACAACCTGACCTCATGGGGGGGTTGAGTAAATCTCTACTGAGGAAAAATTAAGTAATAAACCCTTATTGAAGGAAAAAAAAAAATAAATAAAATTTAAAATAGTAAATGGAACTTCAGAGTTTAGGTGGAGATGTTAGATGTATAGAGTTGGAGTAGGCTTTAGAACAAACTGGAAGCCCAATTGTAAACTGGAAACAAGGGATAAACCTCTACTCCCTTTTCAAAAGACAGGGGTGGAGGGTGAACTGGACAATAGACAAACCTATCTATTCCTATTGAGGAAAAATAAATAAGTAAATATTAAGTAAAATTTCAGAGTTTAGGAGGCAACATAAGAAGTATAGTTGAAATAGATTTTAGATGGAACTGGAAACCCAATTCTAAATTAACAATGAGGGATAAAACCCTACTCCTTTTTAAAAGTCCGAGGAGAAGTTAGAATTGGACGATAGGTGAACCAATGTTTTTTTTTTTTTTTTTATTCCCTTCTTTTTTGTTATTTATTTATTCTTCTTTTAATATGTCTGTTTTTATCACTTATATTTTATATATGAATTTTGATCACTTATATAAAAACAGGTATTGTAAGCATTTAACTTGAGTAACTGTAGAATAATATTAAAATAAACTTGTGTATGCTTTTTGTTTGAATTTTTAGTCCTTTCCTTAGTAAATAAGTGAGTGGATCTGGAAGAATATTCATTTTTTATTTATAAAGTATAATTAAAACTCAGTCCACCCTGAAGTGAAATAATTTAACAAATGAATTTCAAGGGAGATAATTCAGTTAAGTACTATATTTGATGGCATATAAGATGCATGGGTATATAAGACCCTAATTTCAGAAGGGCAAATCAATAAAAAATTAGTAATTAGTAAACCTACATATGGCATATAAGATGCAGGGGAATTTTAAAAGATATTTTTAGTAAAAAAAAGTGTGCCTTACGTGCTGTCAAATATGATATTTCAAACTTTAACTGTTAAATAAAAAAGACCATTTTATTTATGTTTGAAGTAATTTTGACAGTATATTGCTTTGCGTATGGACTTCATGTAGACAGTGAATTTAATATTATTTTTCATTTTTAACTGTTCTTTCTGATTGCAGCACAGCCTTTTACACCCTTGGTCTTCTTGCTTCCACCCGCCAAGGTGCTGATCTTCTTGCTCAGTATGGCTGGGAGTCCATTTGGAGAAATCGAGCAGAAAAATGGCCAATTGTTGAACATCATGAACCAACAGTTGATGATGGAGTTATGTCCCCTGACACTCCCAGTGATCGAAACCTTAGCATCTCTAGTGGAACGCGCTCAGACAGTGAAGAGTCTTCCATGAATGCACACTTGGGAAATCACTGTAACTTCGAGCAATACAGCTCGGAGGAACGTGAGGATAACAAGTCAAACCGTGCTTATCCGAAGCACTTGAATATTCCGGGAAGCACAAAGGATGACTCAGACATCACTCTTCACAGGCTGACAAACATTAGTCGAAGCTCGACGCTTCCCCCGCGGTCAAGTGGGTTTGACCGTTCTCAAGCCACTCAGTTTTCGACCAAGAGTAAATCAATGCATGGCTTTCTCAAAGATCGGACGTTTTTGTCACCTGTCAACTCGTCAAGTCCTGCATCATTCGGATCCGGGGATCGATCTCCAACGAAATCCTTGCATTTGATGATATCATCCCAGTCTGAACGTTCTTCAATAGAAAAAGTTGAGGAGGAAAATGCAGAATCACTGTCAGAATTTCAAGAAAACGACTCCAACAAATTAGCCAACAATGTCTCCAACTTGACCGACCACAGCAGTGGTCGGATGTTTGACATTACCTCATATCGGACACGGGTTGGTAGCCTTCGAGACCAGCAAAGTGGCAGTGACAGTTCTAAGACTAGCAAAAGTCGTGCAGACAGTTTCAACACTGACTCCACGACCAGTGGGGTCAGCTCTTGTGACTCGGGCCCAACTATGACTTGTGATACAATGTGTCGAAGTCCAATAACAGGCTCAAGCACTACTATTTTGACTAATGATACTGGTCATTCAACATTGTCCGATGGAAAAGACTACGTTCACCCGTCTTCACAGCAACGGAAACTTGTCAATCTGACTAGAGTGCCAAGTTTAAGGCGGCATTGTGGTAGTCCTCCTTATGGCATCAAGCCGTGTGTCCAGGGATTGGACCATCTTGTCGATAACCCTGTGACTTACACGAGCACAAGAGATGCTGCGGGGTTAGCCACATTGCGGCTGATCAGACGACAACGTACTTCCAGTTCAGATGTGGACTCTGATTATGGGCTCAATAATTTGTATGGTGACGATGATGATGCCTTTAGCCGGACTTGTAGCATCGGATCGCAGAAAAGTGCAGAAGCACTTAGTTATCATGAATCGTGAGTTCTGATAGTTTTTTTTTTTTTTTTTTATTAACACCTGGATTTATACCTTTGGTATCGTAATGTTTTGTTTTGTCTTTTTTTCTCCTTTTACTCAGTTGGCCAAAAGAAATGTTTCCTTAATTATTTGCTTTTGTTTTATCATCAGTGTACATGTCAAAATGTTGTTCAGTTTGTCATTTTGAAAAATTTATTCATGTTTATTTTTTTTTAATTTTCAAAGTCTGTCTAATTATTTCAGACATTGCAACCTCACTGAACAATAAGACACACCCCATTTTTTACCCTCTGATCCAATTAAATCTCTAAATATTATCTTTAGTTTTCACATCTCTCTCGGAAACTTGGCTGAATGGACTATATTCCTTGTGGGCAGGTACATACTATCACTATTCCCACAAGGAATATGGTCCATTCAGGCCACAATCTTATTAGAATTAGTAAAGAGTCTGTTATTATTAGCCTCTTCCCAGTGAAAGAGTGAGCAAAATCGTCTTGTGCACTAAGATGTAATTAAAAACGTTGTTTGTTTAAACAGAAATATCTGTTTATTAATTCCTTATTACTCATACCTTTTTGCTAAAAGTTTTTTCTCAATGTAAAGCAGAAAATGCTTTTATTTTTATCATGAATATCTTTGGGAATGTTCATCTGATAAGATATTTGGCAGTTCTAAAAGAAACCGTCTTTAGTGCTGATTGCGATGCAGCGACTTACACTATATGACAAATTATTTTTTTATCACAAACCATGCCGAATACAGTCTTTGTTGTTGACTGGAAAATTTTATCTGTTTTCTGAATGAAGCCAGTTAATCAAAACACATCTGCTGTAAATCAATAACTCATTTGTACTCTGGAAATCTAGTCAATTGATTGCTGGTCAGTTTATCAATAGATTAATTTACTGCCATGAATGGAATAAAGGGAAAAAATAAAAATTCCTAGAAGTATTCAAAATTTAAAATAAAAAACAGAAATCAAGTTCAATAAATATTGAAATTGAAGATTATATGCAAATATTAAAACAGTTGTTGGTCAGTTTGTCGATAGGGTAATTTACCTCTATGATAGGAAAAAGGAAAAAAAAAATTTCCAAGAAATATTTAAAATAAAAAAAATAAAATTCAAGTTCAATAAATATGGAAATATTGAAATTTAAGATTATGTGCAAATATTATAAGAATAATTTCTTTAATGACTTTATAGATTTTGTTTGAAGTCTTGCATTGTATAATTGAGTGTTGCATGTCTAATATATTCATCAACATTTGGTTTAGTTTTTGTATATTTATTACTACCTTTATCCATGAAATTTTGTTTGCCTTCTCTGAAATGATGGGCTTACAGATAGCCATATTAATAGAGATATTTGGGAACTGAATTCAAATATATTAAATTGCTATAGTCATTTGTTTGAAAATTAATTATTCAAAAACTAATGAGTTTTGTTTAAATCATTTATAGTGAATACCAGAGACTAATTTTCTTTTGCACTAATTAACTGCTGGCAAATTCTCCTTGCACCATATTGAGATCAAACTTGTGACTCACTCGAAGTCCCTGTATTGTGCTTGTATCATTGAATTGAAATGCTTGTAGCTAAAGCTCATTGATGTGTCAGTCTACCAATAGGCTTAACGCTTTCTGCTTCTTTTTTCACCTGAGGTTTTTTTGTAATGTGGCATTGCAACAGCTCTGCAACCTTTACAGTTTCTGACAGATCTGAGCATTGTTCAAAATATTTTGTCAGGCTTTTAGCAAACATTAGTTAAGTTGAACATAGTTTTTAGAGTGTCACACGCAATTCAAAGCCAGTCAAGTGGCATCTCCAGAAGAGTACTCAGGATGACCAGTCAGCATGAAAATGATTATGTGGAACAGATTTGTGAACTCTTTCACAAAGACTGTTGCCATCTCTCACATGATAGAAATTCTGAGAACTTTCTGATAATATCTAAATCTAAGAAAAATCATTTCCTTTGAGAATATACCAATTTTTATATGAAAATATTTTCTGGCTTTAAATAACCTTCAAAGTGTTGATAAACCGTCAAAAATGAATCAATCAATTGTCCATTTTTTTTTATGACTATTACTTAGTTATTTCTTGTCCTGTTACCACTGAATCTGTATTATTCTATTATTCTCAGTTTGTGAACAATCTACCTCTGTGGATTTAATAAAGGGTTCAATTTCAAATTTTTTGGAGGTTACCTAAATTTAACAGAGAACTGAAGAAGGCCAGAGGGATCAGTGGCTGAAAAGTTAGGATAGTAACAGCAAAGATAAGGACAATAGTCTAACTCTAAATGTAAATAATTTAAAATTAATAATAATAGACAATATTACATCTAAAGAAAAAAATTACAAACATACTATACCTTTGTTTATTTATTTGGTTTTTAACTTATTGGTAAGCAGTTAGGGATTATAAAGGAAATTATGAATTTGTCTATGTTTGGGAATTATTAGAATAGATTAATTTTCTAGTTTTTGTTAGACAAGAACCCCCAAAGAATTTGCTCAGAAGGATAGAAAAAGATTCCTTTATTAAGTTGTAGCATTGTCTGTATGATATTAATTTACACAGACAATGTATGACTCAAAATTATTTCAATGTTTTTGACGATTTACTGATTCACTAGCAGTCCTTATATATTTTACCCAATCCTTGACTCACCTCATTAACTTACCAATGATTAGACTCCAATTGCTAATTAGCTGTATGTTTATAATTTTCTGCATGCTACTTAGAAATGACCTCATCAAACACATGTATTGATTGTAATAGAATCCAAATCTCTTGTATCTTGTGAATCCACCAGTAGCACTCCATATTTTTGCCGGCACGAGCAAACAAATCTAGTGTGTCTCCTGGATTACAAAGTTGAATAAATAGTTATATTCATAAGGACTCCAGCTATGGTCTAGGCTTGGTTGGATGCCAGTCTAGAAGAACGATTACTTTTAATTCCAAACCAAAGAGAAGGCAACAGGAAACCACTCTACTCTTTTGCATGAAGTCATAGCATTTGATAGATAATAAAGAAACAGAATCTACGGGAAAGCATGATTGTCAACATCCCAAAGAAACAGGGCTTTAAAAAATATAGGAATCAAACCTAGTGTATCTCCTACATTATAAAGAATAAATAGCTGTATTCATGATGAGCCCAGGTATGGTTTAAATAGCAGGGTAGCCTGGGCTATTTAGACTTGAGTGGTTGTATGTGTAAGAGAAGGATTACCCTGAAAGCTAGAGATGTGTGTGTGCATATATATAAATTTGGGTATGTAATCCTGAGAGAGTTATAAGTTATTGACATTTGGAAAAATGTTACATGAAAGTGTTTCGAAAATAATATCTGATAATGCATTTTGCCTATATGGCTTCCTCAGATGCATTTTGCCTATATGGCTTCATCAGATGCATTTTGCCTATATGGCTTCATCAGATGGATAACAAAAAATGTTTTTGTGTGTGTATGCATTTGTGTGTTAAAAATAATTTAATCTTGTATTATTTTTCCCAAGCTGGTGTTGCTTGAAACTAAAAAAGAGAAAGAAAATGAGTGACTTTTAAAAAAAATCATTTAACATTTTATATTCTCCACCTTATATATATATATATATATATATATATATACATACACACATACACACACATTTTAGAAGGAGATAAAAAGGTAACTCTTTACTAATATAATGACAATCATCACTATTTATTAAACATAACCTGGCACAAGGCTAGAGTTGTGAGGCATGCAAGCAGATCTGTCTCAGAGACAAACTTGCTATTTATTGTGCTATGGAAAATCTCTTAGCTTTCAAAATTTTGTTTTATTTTCTCAACTAATCTTAACCACCAAGGAATGTGATAAGGTCAGCAATTGATATAGAAAGTAGGAGATTTAAAGCTATTGACAAATGTTCACTTGGAAACGCTAAACAATGCAATCTATAAAGCAATGTCATTTATCTTGAAAATAAATTCTTGATAATCCAGGGAGATTTTTAATAAGACAATCAGAGGCTAAAAGAAATAAGAAAACCCATGTCAAACTTCATACCAACAATAATAAAGTTTACAATAGCAGCCTTGTTTGTGTGTGTGTGTGTACATACATGCATTTTTAACTTGGTTTCATGCTTCTATAACATGTGTGTGTGTATGCATATATATGTATATGTTATGCTTCAGTGTGATTTTCAAACTAAGTCTTGGTTAAGCACTTCAATGTCATTTGCAGTCTAAAAATTGGTCTGAAGAACACATTGAGGCATGAAACTGACAGTCACCATGTGGTATTATTTCTAGGCTCACACTGTCTAAGCCACACACACACACACATATATATATATATATATTATTTAATTTAAAGAAAAACAGGCAACTTTAAGGGTCCATTGTTATAATTTATTTACTTAATGGATGTGTTATTAGTTGGTTTATCTATATAATTTAATGTTTGTTTGACGTTACTTTTTAATGGGGCTTGATTATATGTAGATTTGTTTTGATTAAAAATTGTTTCGCTAGAAGACAGTTTGTTTGTTCTGGCATTGACTGTGTGTGTGTGTGTATATATATATATATATATATATATATATATATATATAAATAAAAAGAAAGAACAATAAGATATGTAATCCAGTGTTCTTATAGATATTTTTGCAAAATAGTGCTCAATGTAAATTTACAGAGCATTAATATTATAAATAAATTGATTTAAAATATGGTGTTTTTTCACTACACAGTTCTAACCATGTTTCAAAAGTTTTTGAAACATGGTTAGAAAATAGTGAAAAAAAACATTTTAATTCAATTTATTTATTATATATATATATATATATATAAGCTTAAATGCTGTCCTATTGAGTGGTATTTAAGCTAGCACCAGCTGAGGGCTTTTGATTGGACATTCATCACAAAAGATATGGAGGAGTAGATGTGATAGGCAACAATAAACTACAGAAGTATTGCATTAATATTTA